ATTTCGGTTTTAAAAACGTTTCATAAAAGCCTATGTGTAGCCAAGAACAAGATCCCGCCGTTCTTACTCATCTCTTTCTGTTTATCACTTTCAACTAGTCTGGATTTTACGATCAGAGCAAGAAGCTTGACCTTCCCAGCAACCATCATGGACCGCATGAAAGATAGAATTTCAGCCTCAGCGAACTACTTCGAAATCTCAGTCACTCCTTCTTGAACTTGCACAGTGATTCTTCTTCGTGATTATCCTTGTTATTTTCAATTTGTGGTTGTGCGTCGGTTCATGAAGATTCATCAGTTTATTCATGATTCTTTTTAGTTCTATGCATCGAAATTTCTTTCAGCGTTTACTGTCATGTGGACATTGTTATCAAATGTCGATCTTTCCTGATTTAAAAAATAAAAACTAAAATTAAAATAAAAACTTTACAAAAGCAGTAAAGCCTGATTCATTCGTTCATGAATCACTTCAATCACAAATCCATGCATGCATTAATTACATATCCTTACATTTATACATGTATTCGCATATTCATTCAGGTGGTACAAAGCTACTCGCCCATTCATTACTTGATTTATTGATCCAATCAATCATTTACTCACTCGCTCGTTCGTTAAATCATCCATTAGTTCTGTGTACGAATGAATACTGCCTTTTTAATCCTGAAACGACATGGTCACACGCTAGTTTCCACGGACCTACCACAGGCAAAACACCGGCATCTATCGGAGTCACAAATTCACAAGTCGGAAAAGCGTCGGTGGTTCGTCGGCTGCTAACGTAGAAACTAAAAGATAGACGACGGAATGGCTGTTAGCATATTACGTAGCTTAATAAAAATGATTGAGCCAAGCTGCCGATAAGCAACATCTCCTAACCAAACTACGAAACAATGCTTCCGGCCGAGAAAACATTACGAACCTCAAACAGCCTATTTCCGCTAAATACATATAAATCAAAATAATAAAACTTCGTCCTTCACACACTTCCCACAGTTATAAGGTACTCTGCATTAGCACAAGTCAAATTAGCTGGCAACGTAGAAAGCCATTACCACATCTTCAGCAAAGACGCTAAAACGACTCACGTTTTGTGCGGAAGAACTACAAGAACGAATTACGAGCTTTTTTGTACGATATATATATAGTACTTGACTATGAGTTGCCGATTACGATATGAGCAAAAATGAAAACGCATGCTTAATTTGAAGGATTCGTTCTCCAAGCTCGATGACTGGTGATCCTAGCAGGAAGAGGTCAAATAAGGCCATTTGAAACCATCGTCGTACATTACGTATTGCAGCAGCACTAAGTGTTTTCTAAACATGCAACGTCTCCCGCAGATATATCTACCGTAAAGCACGATTATGCGAACAGGCCACGATTATGGCCTCTAGGCAGCCAGAAACAGAAGGGTGGTGCAGTACGTCGTAGAATTTTGTTTTGGCGGAGTCATTCGTTTTTTTACGGACTCTGGCGTAAAAACAGGTCACGATGTTTATGCGATGCAGTAGCATAATGTGAGTACTAGCTCCTCAGACATCATTCGTGATGACGTGATGAGATCGAAGTGGCTATAGCTGACAGCATGACATGTATCTGGTACTGCAGGTGCTGAAATGTCATTGAGCGTGACGTACCTAGTGAAATTTGGTCTTAGAGGAATCATTCGTTATTGTGTGAACAGAAACGATCAAACATTTTTGCAATCTAGTGCTTCGAATAAAAATTGCCAGATGGTCTTCGACGTGATTTTAAAATACCGGCACGAGCGAAGTCCATCAGCCTTACTGTAAGAGTAACCAGCGATTTAACAAAAGTACGTAAAAGGAGGTAGCATGTGTGCATAAGGGCAGACAATGAATAACATCAAAAACAGTTTCAACTACGTAGGTATCAGACACTAAAAGTAAAACATGTCACTTTCCAACAAACTGCTAATCATAACCGACTTCGGAAACTGATATCGAGTACAGCACCACAGGAAGTACAAAAGTAAGGCCTATAACTGTTGAATGTCACTCTTCCTTACACCTCCTCCATTAATAGGTTCATTTCTGGCGCCGTTTTCTTCACGAAGTCAATAGTATGGCGCTAATCTCTATTTCCATGGCATCAGCCAAGATTGCCATATTTAACAGGCAGAGTCGACGGCAGCTATTTGGCAAGTACAATCGGCAGTCTACAATTTCCTTGTATAAGAGTGGTACTTATTTCTAACGGAAGAAAGGCCGAGGGACTCGACAGGAGCTCAAGTCCGAAACCTCTCGGTTCTAAGTCGGAGTCTCTGACGACTGAGCAACAGCTGTCATAAAAGGTGGGACGAAGCCATATTCATGCCAACAAAAAATATGATACGCCTTGTTTGAACCGGTTGGAAATAGGATGGTTACAGGATGCTAGGATTTGGCACTGCCAGAGACTAACGAAATGCTAACATTGGCCTCCGAAACCGACATCAAATCATGCATCAACATCACCCATGCACGATTCTTATGCATATAATTGTGGTCCTGAGGAATGAAAGTGCGACGAAAATAATATTCACATAAGGTCAAATTACATCGTTGCGCCGAAATACTTGCTGTGGTTTCATTCCTTAGATAACTTACATGAAAATCGTCGCCATCATTTTAGAAGATATATTTTTAATTTAGCTTTAATAATGGCATAACCAATTCAAAAATTACAGTTTGATATGACTTTCCAATTGAGTTTAACGTCAAACATATATAGCTAAGCCTTTCGGAACAAATAGGAGAAAAATCACATGTACCCCGGAATATATTTTATGATAGAGTATTCCTCAGTTAATGAAGTCAAACTGCCGAAAATGACACTGGATCAGTCTAATTGCATACATTTTTTCAAGTAGACGCCAATCAATTCATATTTGCGTCCATTACAAATAACTTTCCGACAAAATAATCAAACTAAATGTTGATGCGCAATGTAGCGGCTGAGGTCGGCTTTGAACTCTATTTAACAGGTTCGAACCAGCTGAAGGAACAACTTTTGTCTTTGCCGAAAACTTTCTTGAGCGAGGAATTAAATTCATGTTGGTTCGGTGCAACCAACTGAAAAACGGATAGTAAATGGGCGACTTGCGAAAACTAAAGACGACAGCATTTTGCTTTGATTTGTTCATTGCAGAATGACTAACTATAAGGCCAAGCTGTTCGCTGGATAAACCTCTGTGGCTACATTTCGCCTTGACAAATAAGATAACTGATTATTCAGCGCAATAAACCCGCAAAAGTGTAACCCAATTGAGAGAAAATGAAGTTGACATTGATATGCAAATCAGCGAAAAGTACAGCAAAGTTGAAAATCTGGCGAATCTATTATTTGGGAGTGTGCCTAACATTATTCCGCATAGCTAGCAAAGATTTGGAAGAAGCGCATTGTGATTACATTACCGAGCAGAACGACTGAATGTCTCCTTTTGAGCTAATTTCGTGTGAATCGGACGGGGTAGCAATATTGGATGGAGTTTGGACAGAGTTTAGAAATTCCAGGTTAAATGCAATCAGTAGGATAAATTTTCTTGAAAAAAAAATTTATTCTATTGACATTCGATGCAACCAGCCGAGAAACACGTAGTAACGTGAGCTATTCTTGCAGCACACATCATGCCTTTCGCACTCGTTGGTATATTTTTAAAATATTTATCGAAGACATCTAGACACTGATATAAACTTAAACTTAACGAATTGTAGTTCATTTCAACAACCTTGCAAAAATAACTAATTGTTCAAGTGGTTTGTAGAAAAAAAGAACGTTTAATTAATAATGAATTCAGAGCAGGTTCTGCAACGATTTTGCATCTAAAGGGGGTAAACAACCTGTAAGTAAAGTCAATCCTATTGTAGTTTCGCTCAGATTTTCAGATGATGAGTTCTGTTTCTGTGCCGTTGTCGCGGTTTTTCTTGATGCACTGTGAAATTAATTATCTGCGTGATGATCAGTTCATAGTAAACGATGCACGTTCACGTACCATTCCCTGTTCATTGATTAATGATGGCAGAGAGGACCTGATCGTTACTTCACTGCCTGTTAATTTTTCTCTCTCTCCGTTTCACCGTAACCACTTCCAAATACTTTTTCTTCACCAATCAGTTTCTTTTGCAGTTGATGCTGCTGGCACTCAACCATTGTAAATGTTGCTCCGGATTCTACAATGCTTTACTCTGACTCCGAACTAAACTACTGAAATGATTAAATTCAAATCTCTATTTAAATGAACTATTATTTGTTAACTTTAATGTAAGGCCAGTGTTTAGATCCATTTGAAAACATCTTTGGAAGAAACTCTACTATCTTAAACCCGAAATATGTCAATAACTTGCTAGAGCTGTCTTAACTTCTTGTATTGTAGCACAATGAGGTAAACTGTGAGATAAATTATTAATTCGATTCAGTCAAAAATTTATCGAAACGGGCTGCCATGCAGCTAGCCGAAAAACGGATGGCAGGTTTTTTCCATGCGAATAATTGCGACAGCATCGTGGACAGTTGCAAATTTTTATTAGACACAGTATTAACCCTCTTTGTCCCCCTTAATAAAAGAATCATGATCTCTCATTAAATTAACGTGATAAAATCGCACTATGCCGCTATTACACAAAATGACGGTCTGTTTCTGGTCCGTTGCGTTCGCTTATCTTGCTTTTCAACTTTGAAATTACTGTAGTAAAAGATTTCTTGTGTTACAGATGCCTAATTGTCAAATCCATAAGTATTGGGTTGAATGCTCGATTGATATGATGGCTTTATACCAGTAAATACAGCTGATCAAAAACAGAAGATCGTGCGAAGAAACTGATAATTCGATGCGGTGAATACGCCCTGAAGAAATGGTAAAGTAGTTCTTTAACTTCAATGCGGTTTCCCCACTCCATGGGTGAAGATATACTACTCACAGTCTAATTCGTCAAGCATCACGTTGTCTTTAGATGGCTGTAATATAGACCATATTTCATCTAGTGTCCCATCCTGTGTAATATATTCTGTTCATGACACTTTTTGGGTTAATACTTTTTGAATGCTGTATTGTGCATGACTAGTATTCAGTAGTTGGAAACGATAGTTATAAAACAAAGCAGTACTCCCGACTCGAGATCGAAGGCGATATTGGTTGTCCTGAATGTTCAGAAATTGTTGGTTTCTAGTACTACTGGTTGCTATTGTTGACGGCCAGTAGTGATCACAACATGACATTTCCTTTAGTATATGCGGTGAAAGATACTGGCTACCAACCGGTTACCTGCGTTTGGGCGGCGAGACGCAGAGCACTGAGTGATTGTTGTTGATAGCTGGTATTTCGCTTATATTTTACGTTGCTTTTTAGATTCTGGAAGACAGTAGTTGGATCGATGATCTTCCTTCATGTCACCTGTCCGGGGTAGGATTCGTTTCCAATGCGATGTACCGACGGGATGGGCAGCCTTCTCATGAACATAACTTTGAAGACGCTTGCATTCGACTACGGTATGTAAAATTTACCAGTGTAATAGCTTCCTTCGTTCGAAACCTAATCATTCGCATATTATCAAAGTCTTCTGTGCTTTTTATCTGGAAATACGCCCCCTTCAGTGTTCTTTTCTATGGTTTACCAAAATGTAAATGATGTCTATTCAAGGGCATTGCGCATTTCTCTAGTAATGACATTCGAAGTTTGCTAGAAGATCTGTTGCCATTTGCTGGTATTTTCACTGGTCTCCAAAGATTTTTCGTTTTCGGTTTCGTTGTTCTTTTTTCTTCATCTTCCTCTCTCGTTAACTTTTTCCTCGTTTCAACTCTCTTTTCCTTTCGCTTTAATTTTCGTTTTATTCCTCTTCCTTTCATTTTTTTTCGAAATCTTTGTTCTCTTTCATAGATAGAGACATGCGTAACTCCAGCCGTACCCCTTGAGAGATACTTCGGGTTAGTTTTACATATAGAATTCTTTTACCAGATACAGAATTTCCTTGATATGGTATAAGATTATTAAAACAAATGTTTACTTTGTCCGATGTGTATGTCAGCTGTCAGGCAAAAATATTAACGCTTCTGTTAGACGACGACATTAGTTAATTTCTGTGATCGTCGATTTCAAGATACACGTGTCTTTAGAAGTGCTTCTGACATTTCTCTCTACTGTGTCATCGACGGTCATGACGGTAGTCAAGTAGCCGAGTACGTTGCTCAAAAGGTACCGGAAGAGCTGCTTTTGGATCAACTGGACAACGTAAAAGCTGACGAGGAGGTAAGTCATATCGTATTTACATAATTTGAGGTGAATCCTAGCTCAGAATTTCTCCATCGGTCAAGTTGCACTCAGTTTTTGTAGTAACAGTGATATAATTTAATGCTGAAGTTGAAGTTAAAGTGATAATGATCTCTGCTGGGAACAACATTTCAATTCCATGAACTTGGTGGATTTCATTGAGAGAGTAAACGCGAACTACAGACCGTTACCAGACAGCAATTTTTCATTTAGTTTTTTTGGTTGTTTTATTTGCTGGTGATTGATTTCATTTTTAATGAATATCGGAAACTTATCTTGATTTTGCGCCACGTGCCTAATACACTGATTACGTTTCTTGATGCTGTAGTTTTGGAATCAATCAACAGTAACCGAACAATGACTTTATGACCAGCCTTCCGAGTGTACAGTAACGGTTTTCCTCAAGCTTAAGAGGCATTAAATAGCCACAGAAGTTTGATGTACATTTCTGTATTCTATTTAAAATATTATATGCACTGTAAACTTAAGGTACGACCTCAACTTACGTTTAAAGCTGTTAACGATTAGGGTTAAGCTTAGGATTAAACGTCGTGTATTCCAAATGTTGGTAATAAAATCTTTGTTTCGATGCGTCCAAAGCCGTACTTTCAAAAAACATAATTTATCATTTCATTTATGGCATCACGCTAAGATTTGTTGTATCAGAAAACAAATCCGAATGTGCCACATGGAGGTAATCGTATTATGTAGCGAGCCTGACAGTCCATAAAAAAACTGTTGATCTTGTGCAACATCCTTAATTTAGTTTGTTATACACGTTCGCCCTATTAATTTATGCCTAACTACTTCAGAAACCGCTATTACTCTGTTTCACTTACTCTTGTGAAAGGATTAACCACCTCTTGGTTCTGTGGCATTTTAGCATCTGCGGTGCTAAATCCAGCTCAAATCATTTCGTTCGCTACACACTGCTTTTTAATAACGCAGCTGGTGCTCCTTATGTACTACGGAATAAGTTAGTTAGCACAACTCCGCGAGAGTTTAGTTTCATGGTCTACTGCATCTTTCTGTTCCTGGGACTGAGAACAAATTTTTTGAAAAAGGATGTTTTCTGAAATTGGCACTTTTTCAAATTCAGACAACTTAGCCATTCTTTTCGAATCGAGTTTTCATGGGCAGTTCCCGCACAAGGACAACCAGCAAACGTAGGCTGGTCATCCAAGGGAGACCTCTACCCTCCAAAAATTGGTCGCAACCTGTGAGGTTACATAGCCACTAGAGCTCATCTGGTAGCCGTGAAATTCCTTACTCGGAAAGTTTAAGCACGTTAATTCATTGCGTTCTTCATATTTATATTAGATTTCTTAGATTTAAAATTTGGGTTTGCTGAATATGAGAGTCTACAACCAAACCTGGCTCCCTACATCTGGTCTGATGCTTAGTCCTAAGCTTCTGATTGTTGAACATTTCTGCATCAACGTGTTTTTCTTTTGCGTTTAGTGTTTACTGAAAATTTTAAACAT